TGGGCTGGCGCTGCCTCTCTCCCGCCGGGTGTGCGGGCAGCAGCTGTGTCAATAGCAGCGCTGGTGCTCAGAGTCTTCCTTGCTGATGGCACACTTCTTTTCATCTGGCAGTAATTTTGCCTTTTTGAATATCAGTTTGATTTCGAGGAAGGCTCAGGGTTGTCTGCACTGCTCTAATGCACAAGTGTATAATAAAGGAATTCCTTACACTTAGGAAAATTAAGGTTGAGAATCATTTTTTTGGAACAGCAGGCAATATCCAGGGTAGATGACAGCACAAGCAAGGTTGGCAAGACTGCTCCCAGAGAGGATCCTATCTACTTTGTATGTCTAATATTGCACAACACTGCAAATGTATCCATTTTGTGATTTTGCTGACTGTTTTTTTCTCCTTTCTGTTAAAAGGAGGGGGAAAAAAAGTCAGCCTGTGATAAAGGTTTTAGTTATGTTGCTATGGTGCAGGATGCTGCAGTACACAGAATCTTGAATATGCAGAATTTCTGGATTTCTGAAGGTATTCCTGCACCTTAAAGGCCATCGATGGTGCCAGCAGGAGCAATTTAAGCTCATGTGTGGAAGTGATGGTGACTGACAGGGATATGGTGACTTGGTCTTGGGGGTGCTTTTTTTGTGTCCAGGATCACATGATCTGGCCTGTGGAGATATAACATTCTGACATTAATGTAATTTTGAGGTAGTGCATGTTTCTAAAATTAGAAACATTTGAGGCTTTTGCTAGATGACCCTGTTCCAGCTCGGGCAGGTGTTCAGCTTGAACCTCCACAACTTGCCAGTGAGTCCATTGCATCTTGATTACCCCTCTCCATTCATGCTGTGGTAAAGTTCAGATCGCTCTCATTCTTAGAGTTTCTCCATAGATTTCAGTAGTTCACCTTGTGCTATTTCCCTTCTACGCTTAGTGGAACTTGTTGCTTTCTATTTATTTTGATCCCTGATGCTTTTCTCTGCTGGCATGTTTGCAAGACAAAAGAAAGAATGCCTTCGGTGTTTGCAAGTAGTTACTCCTCATTTTACAAAAGGCTTGTCAGTAGGCTTGTGAGTCAACTGACTTCAGAGGATCCTTGTTTATTTTTTGTTCCTTTGCAGTGTAGTGACACAGTCAAAACGTGAAATAAGTACTAATTTGTTTAATCCAGTGATGTATTTTCAGCCAGCTTTCTGAGAAGAGACCCCATGTCTTTCATCTGGAATGCCTAGTCACAAAAATACTATCTTCTATCTTATTCTATGAGAAATGGCATCAGTTAGCTGCAGTGTCCATTTAAGGTCTCCACAAGCTACCTGTGGGTTTTCCAGCTGCCCTGAGTAATTTGACTACCCAGTGAGCAAGCAGGCTCTCTAATCCCCCTGGGCAACAGAGGAGGGAGGTCAGCCAGTTCCAGCAGAATGCCATCCCATTGGAATGCCCTGCCACATACCAGGTAGAGCTGACCAGCCTTGCTGGAAGTTGTTGTCATGTACATTATAGGGATTAAGTAAATAATGATATTTTTATTAAAAAAAAAATCCTGTGGGCTAAGGGAAGAGAATGAATATTCTGGAGCAGGAGTGTAGGTCTCTTCTATTAATAACGAGCTGCTGCATCTCCAAAGGATGCCTTAATCACCAGTTGCTGTGGCAGGAGGAATGTCTCAACAAACATCACAGTAATGGGCATCAGCAGTATGGAGCCCTACAACCTGCCTCGTTCCATCAGCACAAGAGGGACTGAAGATTTGTGGAGCAATGAGCCATAGTTTGTATAGTGCTCTTAGCATAATTTGACAGTATTTTTTTTATGAACAAGGGGAGGTTTGTCAGATAAGTGTTCTGTTTGTGGCTGGAATAGTGCTCAACAGTTATGGCCAAAACCTTTTGGTTGGTTTTAGGTTTGGTTGGTTTCTTTTATTTTTGAAGAAAAACCAGGATGTGGAATAAAGATCTTTTCAGGCTGCTGCTTTTGGCTAAAACAGCAGTATTTCAAACAGTTCAACAACTTGAATGCTCTGCTTAAATTACTGAGCATACACTGGTGTCCTCACTGTTAACAGCAGATGTAGAGCCCAGTTAATAGGTCACAGTGGCAGAATGAGGGGGCTGAATCGGACGTGAGCCATCAGCTGCAGAGGTACAGGCCAGATTTATCAGGGTGACCTTGAATCACTGCAAATGGAGCCTCTTAGGATACTGCAGCTCTACTGTCAGGTAATACCTGTTTACACTATAAATATCTTAAGAGAATTAATGTTTCAGGTCCCTGTGCTGAGGCAGGCGGAAACTTCCCCCTCAAGATGCAAGCAGTTAATTAGTTTTTCATTAAGCGTTGTGCACCCAGCAGGATGTTGTACAGCAGAAGTAAAGATTAAATGAATTGAAAGAAAGCCAGTGAGAAAATGTCAATGCAAAAAGGATCATAGAAAGGTTTTACTTTTTGATGTATTGCTTTTTGAATAGATGGGCGTCCAACACGTGTGTTAAATTCTGCTGGTTTATTTCAGGTGTTCTTGTTAGAAGTGAGGGAGGAGAGAGAGAGACATGGCATAGCTAAACAAAGACAGCACTGGGGGCCCACTGCTTTCCCATTGTCAACTTGTAGCAAAAGGACAAAAGTATTCAGATGCTCCTCTTATGTGGAGGAAGCATCTAATCTAGTGTGAGCCAGGGACAATTGCAAGAGGAAGTTGGAGGAAACACAATTTTTCCAGGTTACTGAAGGACAGCAGGCTGATGGTGCACATCTAAAAGGCATTAACAGGTCTGAGAAGAGCCACATATGCCAGTAGAATAGTATTTTTGGCATCTACCTTCTGGAAAATATTTTTAAACCACATATTCAGTCTACTAATCACTTAATGTGTCTTTCCTCCTCTTCTGGAGGTGTGGTATTAGGTGTTGCAAACAGAAAGCACTGCTGACTTGCATTCAAACTAGCATAACTTATAATGGTATACTCTTGTTTTTAAGAGTAAAGAATTCATTCTTTTTAGTTAACATTTTGACCCAACATTCACAAGGGTTTTTTTTAATCATGTTAATTACAAAGGATTTGTTATTGTCAGTTGCATTTGTTTGGGTGATATCCTTCCTGGGATATCATCCCCAACCTCCCATGCAAATCTGAGTTTGGTTGTGCTGGGCACTGTGCAAACCTTAGGGAAATGCACAGTCTCTGAGTCACAAGTTGGCTGTAGAATGTTGGTTCCAATTTAGTGGGGCATGCTTTAGTCAGAAGTGAATTCATCCTTACATGTGGAGTAGATGCAGTTTCTTTACTAGCTTCAAGTAGGTGCTGTTTAGAAACATTCAGGTTATTCGCGTCATGACCTTCATGTTTGCTTTGCCCAAGTAAAAGGTAGGAAGGTTGCAGAACTCCCTGTGAAAAGGGAGTTTATAGTAGAAATAGGAGCTGGCAGATGGCATTTCAGAGGCAGCAGTGTGAAGCAGCAAAGGAAAGGCCAAAAGCTGCAAGGTGATGTTAACCAGACTTAGGTGCAGGAGCCACTGGCCTGAATTTTAATATGTCCTTTAGGAACTTGCTCTTAGCCCCAAGCTGGTGACTGGTGAATACCTTCTCAACTGCTTAGTTTTAAAATCAGTATCTTCTTTTGTACAAAATATTCAGAGTATGGTAGATAATTTACTTTGTATGGCAGCACTGTTCTTTAAGCCACAAAATGCTCTTTCAGGCTCAGTTCCACACCAGCTAAGGCAACAGCAGAAGGAATGCCACTTCTATCAGAATAGGTTTTATAAAAATAGACTTTTCTGATTTAGAGCAGTTTTACCCCCGCTCCCACCCCCGATAAAATATTCCTTTAGCATATCGTAGCCAGTCTAGAAAACCCCAGTGCCAAACACTGGTGCATTTTATTGGGCTAACCTCTGTGAATACTGGGGACCCAAACTGGTCCAGTGTATGTCCTTGGAGTCCTTGTTCCATTGAACTGAATATTTGTCAGCTCCCATGGTAGTACCCAATTTGCATTTGGTTAGGGTATGACTGGTGACTGTTCTTTTTGACAGCAGTGCTGGCTCAGTGCTGACAGTACTAGCACTGCTTCTGCAATGCCTCCTCCACTGCTGGCAGAACTGCATGGCTGCATGGAGAACTGGATCAGGAAAATGACTTGGATTTTTAATTTTTTTTTTCCTGCCAGCTTATTTTTATCTCTTAAATTATGTAATTATTCCATAACTTGAGTTTTCTGCTTGGATTCTGTCCCAGACAATTGTTAAGATTCAGTAGCTATGGGGAACATAGAAACAGCCATTTTTCTGTAATATGTGCACTGTAGCACAGTAAATTGAGAAAAATTCATCAGTCTTTTGTGACTTGGGGGTGGGATGTGGGAGTGTGCCTTATTAGACATCTCCCCAAAGAGTGAAAATTGTATGTAGGTACTCTGAGCTATGTATAGTGAGCAGCACTTGGAGCTATTGCTTTGTGTGGACATGCTGAGTCATTTCAGAAAGAAATGCTTCTAAAATGCTGAACAATAGACATCCAGGTCTGTGGTGTCCTGTGGATCTTTGGCTGATTTTTCAGATGTAATCTGAAAACCCATATTCCTTTCTTGTTTGTATCTCAATTTTTCTTCTGCACCTTCCTTTTTTTTATGCATGGAATAAACTACTCTGCTTCCTTGGAATTTTCTTAATGGCGCCCCATGTAATCCTGCTTAGGGTCACTCACTCCTGTTGTCTTCCGAGGCAGCTCTGTGAAAAACAGGCAGTTTTGCAGTGGCTAGTTAATAAGCTCCATGTACCACGTGTTGGTAAGTTATCACAGTGAAGATGCTGGTCTTTGTGGTCCAGCCATCACAGGGTGTTCCATATGGAGTTCCATGAATGGTGCTTTCCAACATCTGGTTTTCCAGATCATGTCATGAGGCAGAACTATTAGCTTATTGAATTTCCTTTCCTGAGGATTTTGTCAGACTCTTAAACCTTGAGTGCCTCCTGTGGTTCAGCTTGTACAGTGACCTACTTGTATCTTTCAGATAAAGAGAAGGAGAAAATAAAGCTTGAAGAAGATGAGGCAGCAGCTGCCAGCACTATGGCAGTCTCGGCTTCCCTTATGCCACCCATTTGGGACAAAACTATTCCTTATGATGGCGAGTCTTTCCACCTGGAGTACATGGATCTGGATGAGTTCCTGCTGGAGAATGGAATTCCTTCCAGTCCTACTCACCTGGATTTGAACCAGAATCCACTCTTGCCTGTGGCTGAGCTGGAAGGAAAGGAGTCTGCCAGTGCTTCCACTGGTTCTCCTGCATCGTCCTCTTCCACTGCAGTTTACCAGCAATCTGAAGCAGCCTCCAGCACAGGTAGATGGAATAATATGGGGCTCTGATGGACTTCTGTTCTCGTATTAAAAGGTTCCTTTTTAGATCAAAGAGCAGATGTGCTAACCTGCCAGTGTTAGTTGTGGCAGATAAAGCAGCACAAACATGTTCAAATGTAGAGCCTTAGTCCATGTGTCCATTCATGAAGATGTGACCTCTCTTCTTCCTCTCTCCCCCTCCTGCAAAAAAATGTGTCTATCAGTGTGCAGTCTGTTTCTCCTTTGAAATTGGAAGAGCTGAAATGCCAACATAAAGTATTTGTTTTCTTGGTATTGCTAATACAGTGAGAAGCTGGACATGTTGACAGAATAGTTTCTCAGGTTATTTTACAACAGATTGGATAGCACAAATGACTTGTGACAAACTACCCTGGCCTGCTTGGGTGAACTTATGCTAACTTAATGTACCTCAAATGACAGTGCTTAATAGAGAAACAATGAAGCAATCCTTTTGTGGTAGCCTGTGAAATGTGAGAACAGACACTTGGAAGAGGTGTGTTAATGATGCAGTTTGATGTTCTGTGGTGCTTTGAAGTGGGAATGGAAGAACAAAGAAACAAAACTGTACCTAAATGGTACTAGGAAACTTCTACTCTTCATTTGTAGAATGGAGATTTTCTCTGTTAAAGAATTCAGCAGCTCAGTTTGTGCTAGATCTGGAGTTTAAACATGGTAGCCTCTAAATTTTCCCTGTCTTTTATGAGCAGGCTTTACAGAAAGCATTTTGCTCTGTGGCTCTTCTGTGAGCCTGTGAGAGAGACAATGTGGAACTCCTTCCATAAGTCATAGGGTGTGGCTTTTTTCTAGGTGATATTGATCACTGCTGCACATTGTACTGACATTGGCAGTTCATGTGTATGAAGTTTGTAAACAGCAGGTGAATATTATAAAGTTCTTATGAACACGGTCAGTGTCAGACAGTCTGTAAGGTCATTTGTTTCTGTGTGACAAGGAAGTAGAAGGCTGTTGCATTTGTAACAAACCCACCTTTATTTAGTCATTTGTTTGGAAATACAATTGTCTGACCTTTGAAGGTCCCAGGGATGGGAGTCTTCAGGCAGTCTTGTTTCTCTAAGGATTTCTGTGGTACAAAACTCAGGCTGATACAAGTGTCTTCCTTCTTGCTGCTGTTTGAAGGCACTTCTGAAGTGTGCAAAGCATGTAGTTTTTGCCAAGGAGGTATTAACTCCTGTCCTGCATCTGTCTGCTCATGTCTGTTAGTCTGGCATGTGTTCCTGGAGTTTCTATTACAGAGTGGACTGTGTACCCTTTCCCTGTTCAGCAGTGGTACAGCATACCAAATAATAATACTAAATACTGCCCACAACAGGGTGATAACTAGAGGCAAATTGGCTTCTTAATTGATTGTCTTCATCCTGCTCAATGTATTCTAACTTGTCCTGTTCTTGCCAGAGTCCCCACCACAGAATGAGAGAAATACTCCCAGCCCCATTGATCCTGACTGCGTAGAAGTTGAGGTGAATTTTAACCCTGACCCTGCTGATTTAGTGCTGTCCAGTGTGCCTGGTGGTGAGCTCTTCAACCCTCGCAAACACAAGTTTACTGAAGAGGACCTGAAACCACAACCTATGATTAAAAAAGCCAAGAAGGTTTTTGTCCCAGATGAGCAAAAGGTAACAGATTTATTGCTGCAAACTTCACTAGGCCTTGATAAAAGTTCCTGACTCTTTGTCCAAACACTTTGACACACAAAGCTAATGCTCTACACCTACATGATTGGGCAGAAGCACTGCCAAGAATAGAACTGGCAAGCCAACTGCTGTGCTTGCTGTTTCGCTGGGTTTGGTGTCATGAGATAATTACTGGCCAGGAGCAACTTGATCATGCTATACACAGAAATTAGAAGATCTATCAAGTCAAATCCTCACCTGTACTTTTGAAGGCCATTGTCTATATTTGCCCAGAGTTATGTTTGGCCTGGCTTTAAGCAACCCAGACAACAAAACAGATTTTCTGTGGAAGTGCATTCCTGAATTGAAATGAAGTAAAGGGAGCATTTCAGTTGGACAACTTCTTAGCACCCAAATCTCTTAATCTCTTTAGTTCTAGCAGTACTCTTGGTTTATCCTAAAACAAGACTGGTGTAAGGATGAAATCTTACAGTACTGTTGCCTGCCTTTTGGTGTCAGAACCCTGCAAGCCTGTGAAGGACATTCCTCAGTATAGCAGTGAGTGTGAATGTCGTTGCACAACAGAAGTGTCTCTTTGATACAGTTGTCAGTTTGGCATCTTTTTTTTTCTACTGCAGGATGAGAAATACTGGACAAGACGAAAGAAGAACAACGTGGCAGCCAAGCGCTCCCGCGACGCTCGGCGGCTAAAGGAGAACCAGATCACCATTCGGGCAGCCTTCCTCGAGAAGGAGAACACGGCCCTGAGGACGGAGGTCGCGGAGCTGCGCAAGGAAGTGGGACGGTGCAAGAACATTGTTTCTAAATACGAGACCAGATACGGACCCTTGTAAGCACACCCCTTTTCCTTGTTAGGGCTCCTTGTTTTAGCCTCTTAGACTTCTCTGCCTTTTGTAGAGACTCCCAGAAATAAAGTTTATGGAGGCTTTGCCATTTTCCATCTGCATTAAGAAAAAAAGACAACCCAGACACAAGCCAACCCTGTTTCTGTTGGCACAACTTGTTCAGGCCCTTTCCTGATCATTTTGTTGCCCAAAATCAAATCTTAGTGTCCATATTTACAGCTTTGTTTTTAACAATGATAGAGCATTTTCTGATGTCATGCAATAGAACAGATGCACCTGTCTGGAGGAACAAATATGAATTCCTCCTGACTGGACAGGGCTTTTGCTCTCTGTTCTAATCTCTATTTTAAGTGGAGAAAGAGCCTAGGAGACTCTCCTTGCTTTTTTCTTCTTTTTTAATTTTTCTTTTCAAATTCTTGCTTTTTTCTCCTCTCCATCCTGCCTACCCCTCCCAGCAGAATTGTAAAATTTAAGAATATGAGTAGATGTTGCTGGGCAGCATCATGAAATCGTTTCCTTTCCCATTCAGAGGCACTACAAAGTACCTGTTGTGTAGAACTCTGTTCCTGTTGAAGAGGAATAGGGGACCTTTGGGACAGAAAGACAGGAAAATATTCAATCTCTTGTAAAAGCAGAAGTATTGTGAGGTTAATCCATGAGTGTTATGCAGAATGGAGTCAGTGCAGTTTTGGTTAAAATACTGCTCAAGTGTCTTGGTAGGTTCTAATCCTGGATAACTTGCAGAAGCCAAGGAAAGAGAACAGTAGTGAACCACCCGCTTTACAGATGTGGACAAAAGAGTTTGCTGTGGGGTTTAGGCTGTGTTTCTACCACCAACCCTCCTTTATTTCCTTGAACTGCTGATAAAGCAGCATGTTGCACTTAACTGAGAAGTAAGGGAGGTTTAGAAAAAGAGGTCTGGCTCATTGGGCTGCACCTTGAGTCCCAGCTGTTAAGAAGCTGCCAGTACCTTATGCTTTGGAAGAAGGGGCTTTTTAAAGAAGTAAACAAGCCATTGTTACCTTATTGCACCTTACCCATTGTGCAAGAGATTGAGAAAGAGTTTTGGTCCTTTGCCTCGTGAACACTTTATGGGACAAGCTGTAAACACGAACAGTTTACCTCACTATCTCCTGTGTAGCAGCATATCTGGTCTCTCCATCCCTGCTGGTTCTCTCTCCAGCATGTTTCCTGATAGAAAATTAGCACACAAGACTTGCCCTATTGGAAGTAATCCATTCTCAGCACCAAGCGCTGCTTCAACAGTATGTGGTGTTAAAAGGAAAAAATACGTTGTATGTGATGTTGGGACCTTCTATGTGACCTACAACTGCAAGAACCAGAAGCTTTATCAGAAGTATATGTCTAGAAGTCCTCTTAACAAGAGAAGCTGTCTTAAGATAGTGGCTTTGTCAGAACTCTTAGGCTATACTTCCTGGGATAATATTTATATTAGGGAGTAAATGTGGGACAGATGTTGAGGCTAGTTTTTAGTTCCTCTATTGAAATCTGAAGAGTATATTCTAAAAGCATATTTTATATACTAAAGGCTTCTTGCCTAGCTTGTCTTTTAAACATAACGTGGAAATTGGTATGAGTTTAGACCAATTGTGTGTTGACATCTTAAGGAAGTGGAGAACAGGCTAATCCAGAACACTTAATGTATGCCCTGAACGATCTCCCCTTCTGTTATGCTCTAAATTTGACTAGAGTGGCTCCGGATGCAGTGTTGGTCTAATTTCCTTCAAACATACTAAAAATTGTCACCCTTTCAAGCAGGGGTTTTTCTTTCACAGGGTGGTTTGTGGTGGTGATGGTGGGAAATATGTTATAAATAAATTGTCACACTTAACACTTTGCTTTGTTTAAAGTGACTTATCTGATTCCGAGTGATGCAACTTTAAAGACTTTTAAAAACAAAGAAACTAAAAAGCACACATGAATCTCCAGTCTTCAGAGTGAGCAGTGAAATCTGTGAGGTGTCCCAACACAAACAACTGACGATGACCCTGCCTGCCTCCTTGCCTGCAAGTACCCCATCTGAACTACCCAGGGCTGGGCATGATGAAAAGTGCAAAGTCTCCTTAATTCTGTATATGGCTTTCTTATCTGTCTTTCTCACTGTAACTATGAACTACAATAAGCTTACCTATTGGGGTTTTGTCAAGACACTCAAAGTTCATGTCTCAAAGTCTATTGACAGCCTGTGTGAATAGTGACTCTTTGTTTTGGCACTCAAGTGAAAGAAAAGAGGGAGTTTTAAATGAAAGTGTCTGTATATATTAAGAACTACTATATTTTAAGACTCTTTTCCCTGCAGTAGAATGAATTTTATTTAATGCTGCAGCTCACTTCTGGGACAGTGTAGCATATTGTGGAGTACTATAAGGCACCAGGAAAACAGCAGCCAGTGATGTGTGAGACTTCAGTGCAGAAAAGTACAGCAGATGTACTGAAACAATCCAGAAAGCACCACAGTGTGCCATACAGACAGCAATGACCCATGTAACAGTAAACCACTTTGGTTGCTCTCCTGCTCCACAGCTACACTGCTGTAACCTGCCTTTTCCTTTACTTCCTTTATGAGGCTCACTTGCTTTTATGGTATTTTGCAGAAACAGGATCTGTTCTTCTGTTAATGATAAAGCAATCATGTAAAAGGTGCTATTCTGAGCTGCTGATCCCCAAGTCTTTTGGCAGTCTGAAACTACCAAATGAGTATTAGCTCTGGCAAAACAATGGCTGTTAGCTGCCATATTACCATTCTCTCTCTTGAATGCAAAAGAACTGTGGTGGTGAAAGAGCACTTCGTTCATCTGTTGTATAGAAGTGAAACAGCCAATGATCATCTACAGTTACAATGGGCAGCTTAAGCATGAAGGCCTTGTGCTGGTGTGGGAGAGTAGATGAAAGCTGGGACAGATGGTGGGGATGTTTATCATGTGTAGAGGACAGAGAAAGTAGGTGGAAGTTCCATTGTAAGAGTTTCATCAGTATAACAAGAATCTGCTCTTATATTAAGGAAGCTTAAGAGCTAAATCTGTGTGGGAATGAAAAGAGTACCTAATTTCTGGGAAAGGAGTACAGGGCCATGCTCATAGCCAAAATGGAGCTTGTAAGATGGGAGTGTATTCATGCCTGGTGATTGGCAAACAGCATACACCTCAAGAAAAAGAATCTTGAAAGCTTTCAGAAGCACAAGTGCCAAAGTTATAAGGCACAACTAGTTACCAGCATAGCTCAGTGCTATCCTGTTGAACAATTATTTTGACTTTAGAGATTCCACCCCTAATTTCAGAGCTTAACATAACAGAGCATAACTCTGATCTCTTTGCCCTAGAAGGGCAAAGAGAAAAATGTGAGAAGCAGCAGCTAATGTTGTGAACTTAAATAATTAAAATTTAAAAAGCCAGGATTCATAACCAGGTTTTTAAGGCATAACCTTTGTAAAGGGCATATGTAATAAATGGAGTTACTGACCTATCATTTTAGTGGACCATGTTCTGAAAGGAAAGTGTTTTTAACTTTTTGCTGGTTACCAAAGTATACTTACGAGTGTGTTGTTATAATTTGGAATTCTAAAGCTCTGAGGTCCTCTTGGGATATCCTTACCAAATACATGAATAGCTTAGTTCCATGTTGCTGAGATGTCAGCATATATCTCTGTTTGTATAAAGGATTACTGCTTTGGATTGATACATTTGGTATGCACTGGTTTTTGTTGTTGCATTTTGGTGATAAAGGCCAAACCATGGGTTAAAACAGACAAACAAACCAGCAAGAAAACAAACAGCCCTGACAGCATGTAAATGTAGCAGCCTTTGCATTTATCATTTCTAAATTTTCAGGCAGCTTTGGTTGTTCCTTTTGAAATCACACAGCTAAAGGGTATTGTAGCTGAACAGGGAGTTGCTAGTCCTTCACTTGGATGAAGGACTAAACACAGTCCTTCACTGTGTTTAAGAGTATCTTTTAAATATTTACATATTGCACACAGGATTGGGTTTCACAGTATGTCATGACATTTTGACGGCAAAGCATTCAGTCAGTGAGATTAGCATGTGCAGTTCTATTGTTTTATTTCGGTTGTATTAAAAGCTTACACAGTGGAAACTAACAGTGAATGTTCATAAGATCTTTCTTTCAGAGAATACTGTTAGCAAGCTCTTGTGGTTCCCTGTAGGGCAGTGCACGTTTGCACATTCTGTGATTCATGCAAAACGTGGCACTTTGGGGGAGTGCAGCTCCACTTCGGTAGCTGGCAGCACCTTTAAAGGTAGATGAGAAGGTAGTGACTATTTAAAGGAATGCAGGTATTGCCAGACAAAAAGTACTGTGCAATGCTGAATTCTTTTCTCAGTTTTTGCAGTCTCAGGAAGTTAATTTTACTGCTTCAGAGCTCTCTGCTCCTCTCAGAATGATTAGCTATATCATCTTATTTCTCTGACTGGGATGATAATCCTATCTATAGGTGACAACTTGGGTATGTTTTCATAGTGGTCAATATTCTTTTAGCTCAATTTGAACAGTAAAAGATGCTGAATTGACACTGTTAGAGCCTGAAGTTCTTTAGCCTTGGAACATGCTCTGTAGAGGCCATAAGTGTGCCTGATGCCAACCTACCCCATTCCAGCCATAAAGGGACCAGGGGAGAGAATAAAGGGAGTGTGCACCTTTCAGTATCACTGCAGGGATTTCCAGGATAGAGAGCAGTTTTGACAGAGATGTGCGTTCATTAGGAAGTGGATTGACACTGCGTGGTCATTTCACAGTACTAACTCTGAAAATACATAAGCTGTGGATGAGATTTGTGGGCAGTGAGTGTTGTCTTGCTCTGCAGAAGAAACAGGCTGTGATGCACAACATTTCATGCAGTATTGCTTTCATGCATGATCTTCTAATCTACACAGTCATAGCTCCTTATAATAATGTGGTTTTGTATCTAAAAATTCCCTAGAAGCTTAATCTTTCACCTGTTGCCAAGATCTGCTCCCACTGAAGCTAGTAACAAAGATCTCATTAACTCCCACAGGAAAAAGTCTTTACTCTCTCTGGTTATTGTGAAGTTTTAGCAAGTGCTGGAATCATGGGTGTCTTTGCTTTACTCTGGAGCATTCTCTGCTGGGATCAGGTGGATGTATTGCAGTTTGCAGGTGTAATGTTGGTAAACTGGTCCTATCATTTGTTCATTTACATAGTGATAGTTTTGATACTCAGATAATATGAATTCTGCTTTTCTTTTTTTTTTTTCCCCTTTTTGTCCTGCCTGGACAGAGTGAAAAGGTAGTGAACTATAAACTTGTGCTGGGAGATTAAATGTTTTTTGTTTGGTTGTTTTTTAAGTGGCTTTTTGCAGTTCTTCTAGTAACATTTTTTGTCTTTTCTGACAATTCTCCATTTCCTTGCTGTGCTGTTTGGAAGCCCAAGGTGTTCTAGCCATAGAAATCGCTGTCAGCATTATCTGCAGGACTGCAGCTAATTATACCAAATTAATTTCAAGTTGGGAGGTGCAGTGGAAGGTCAGCAGCTTTCGGAATACTGTAATAAAACCACTTGTGTGAAAAAAAAATACTATTTTTCTTTTGTAGATAGCAGAAAAAATGGACCCGCACAGAAGAGCTGCTGCGGTCTTGTAAGCCTCCTGAGCATAAAAAGGGCTTTGTTCCTGGTCATCAGGTGCTTTCATTTTTAGTGAGAGAGGAGAGATCTTCAACCTTTGTCAAATCCAGATAGCCTTTTGTTCACCCTCATGGTTTTAGCTGCTAAACACAAGATGAGAAATGCATAAATCCGGTATTTTTGGCAACCCACATCTAAATCTATAGAGCAAAATCACTTGTTAATGCTTTACAAGACTCTGACTGGCTTTCTGGATGTTCAGATTTTTACTCTGATCTGTATATCTGCTACTGTAGCATGGTGAAGATGGATAAACTCCCAATAAAAGCCTGGGAGCAAGGTGGAGATGCTAACATAATGCTAATAGAGAAATGACAGTGATTCATGGTAATGCAGATTTGTCACACAGATGTCACTTGTTGGTTTGATAGTCTGCTATCCCTAGTGAGTCACTTCTGGAATGCCAGCTTCTTAAAGTTCAGGCAGCTACAGGAGAAGAGGAATCTTTTGAGGAAGATACATGTATGGATAGGCATAGATACTTGGCCAGGAGAGCAAAGAATGAGAGCAGGAAGAGGAGACTGATGAAGAATCTGACCTGAGCAAGACTGCTAAAACTGACACCATTTACAATTCTAGGCCCATTTGGATCCCCTCAGTTTGGCATCATACTGAAGATAAGTACTTGTTTAGGTTTTGGGAATCTCCTTTTCTTGGTCTCACTTCCACAGTCCAGGAGAAAGTGAAAGGAATATACAGATAGGGAGGAGAGTTACTGCAGAAAGGCGTGGAAAAACAGCTGTTGCTTTAAGTGTGCTGTTGCACTGGGACTTGACCTGCCAACGTGAACTGGTAGTGCTGTGTCGTGAGGAAATTACTATCTGAGACCCCAATCTTTTAAGGCCTCAATTCTGCTGTCACTTCTGCATGGGATGAGCCCTGTATCTGTAGAGAACCATGTGGACTTCACAGGATCTGTTCTTGAATGTGAAGCTCTGCCCAGGCAGTCAGCTGCAGAATTGTGTCCTTACCACACTCTCAGCTGTAGTTATAGGGCTGTTGATATTCAGTGTAATTTGGGTGCCTGTTACATAGCCAAACCCCTTGTTACTTCATTTTCCTAACTAAGGCATGAGCAGAAGCCCTTTGCTGTACAACATCTGTAAAAAAAACGTACAAATGTACTTCACATACGTCTAGTAACTTAAGGCATGTGATTTTGGTCTGTGGGTCTCAACAAACTTTGCTCGTGTACCTGCCTGAATGTTTTCTTAGATCTGCAGCTATGTTTCAGTGAGAAGGTTTGGTGAGATGTGTTTTCCTGAGGGGGCACAATAGCAGCTCTCCCCTGCCATGCTGTGGGTGAGAGCTTGCTGCTGGCCAGGATCATGGATGGATGCATCCTCTGCACTTTGATGTGAAGTTGTCTGAAATATGGTGATTAACATGACTATTGGAATACTGTATTTTGTATAACTTAGAACATGTAAATACACTTTTAAAACTAATCTGTTCTATGAAGTAATAAATAAGTGCTTCCATTGTAATATCTGAATATTGTTAATGCTTCATGTAGCTTGATTTGGGGTTAATTTTTTTTTCCTAGATAACTACAGAAATCAAAGCAAAGATTGATGTTGTGGAATTCTAGTCTAGTTGTGATGCTTTCTATCAACAAAATCGTTTTAAAAACAATACTGAGCTACTTAAGCAGAGAAACTGAGAATTTGAGGGAACTGATTCTCTTCCAGTCTTTCTTGAACACTGGTTACATTCATAACTGTAATCTTCACATCCCATTAGCTGGACAGTTGATTTCTTGTCTGTCAGTAGCATTTGGAAAGTGGCAATATTAAATTATTTG